CACACTATACTGTTAACAAAATGTGGGACTATATCCTCATTGAAGAGCAGGAGATTGTCTTTCATCATATCTGGACAAAACATCCTAAATGCAAAATCAACAATAGAAGAGGGCATTCAGTCGAATGCAAACATCATCATCCTCTCTCAATTCAATATTATTACAAAACTCTTCTGTAAAGCCTTTCTCTGCCTGGTTGATGCTTACAACTATAAAGGTGGAGAAATAAATGTTTTTATCAAGAGCTTCCAGCTCACTGAGGGGGCTACAGGTCATTCCACATCCAAAACCTGCTTGGAAAGCTCTGCTTACATTGATATTTGTTGTACTTCCACCACAGCTGCTGAGATGGTCACAAAATGTTAAAACAATATGAAAAACTAAACAAGCCACAATATAGAATCCTTACAGCGAAGGAAGAGGCCATTTGGCCTATTGAGTCTGCACCCACTGTCCAAAGAGCATCCTTCCCAGACACACTCCTATATTTAACCATGGCTAATCCACCTAGCCAGCATATCCCTGGATACTGCTGGGCAATCTACCTAACCTGCACATCTTTGGATTGTGGGAGGAAACCAGAGCATCTAAAAGAAACAGGGAGAATGTACAACTTCACACAGCCATTGACCTGAGGCTGGAAGTGAACCCAGCTTCCTAGTGCTGTAAGGCAATAGTGCTAACCCCTAAGCCACCATGTCACCCTAGAAGGGAATGTCAAGTTGACCTATCCCTCAATGTTAATGGATCCTGCAAAAAATTCTAAAAACTGATCTACACCTTCACCAAAACAACTAATCCATTCTTCCTTGGGCCATTACCAATGTGCTACGTTTTGTTGAATTTGGTCCATTACTTCTGAGATATATCATTCACAAACAGTCTATCAAACATGGGTGAGAGCTTTACTATTGTATGATTGCATGAATCCCAGAAAGGCAACATACTAGGTAGCACAGTGGTTAATACCATTGCCTCACAGAGCTAGGGACCTGGGTTTGATTCTAACTTTGAGTAACTATTTGTGTGGTGTTTGCATGTTCTCTCTGTGTCTGCGTGAGTTCCTGCTGGGTGTTCTGATTTCCTCCCATAGTCCAAGGATGTGCAGGTTAGGTGGATTAGCCATGGTAAATGTGAGGTTAGTCTGGATGGGAATCTTTTCAGAGGGTTGGTGCAGACTTGATGGACTGAATAGCCTCCATCTGCACTGGAGCAATTCTATGATTTTTAGACAATTAGATTGCATCATGTTATGTGACAGTCCAGTATGAAAGTCCTCAACTCACCTTCAGTAGTCACAGTGGAAGGGAATCAGTGCCGTGTGTAATTAGTGTACTTAATCACCTACAGTGGTACAGTTACGTGATGCACATTTAACATCAATAAGCACACAATCCAGAGTGTGTGTAAGTCTGAGTTCATATAGCAGTGTGAATAATGATTATTGTTAATAAACTTCAAGATATCTGTCTCGACAAGAACCCAGTCTTTGTGGTACTTGTTATGTGAGCGAATATATAGGGAAGCAATCAGACCATGTGAGTTGTGCCTGACTTAAGAAACATATCAGTTACTTTTACCCACCTTCAGTGGTTCAATAGTACAGATAATTACTCAAGTATGCATCCAAATCAATTTGCATTAAGTGTTGCAGTCACAAACCTTTTAGGCTAAGGGCCAGGTTAGCGCAGTGTCCCAGGTGAAATGTACAGTGCAAGAAGATGATCAATGACCTCCTGCACTCCACAAAGGTAAGTGCCACCATCTTCAATGTGCTATCTCTCACTCATAGAATCTCAACAGTGCAGAAGCAGGCTATTCAACCCATATCGACTCTCCAAAGAACATCCCACCCAGACCTATGCCCCCACCCTATCCCCATAACACTGCATTTCCCATGGTTAATCCAACTAGCCCGCACATCCCTGGACACTACAGGGCACTTTAGCATGGCCAATCTACTTAATCAGCATATCTTTGGACTGTTGGAGGAAACCAGATCACCCGGAGGAAAGCCACACAGACACAGGGCGAACACGCAAAGTCCAGACAGTCACTCAAGGCCGGAATTGAATCTGGGTCCCTGGCGCTGTGAGGCAGCAGTGCTAACAACTGAGCCACTGTGCCGCCAGAAGTATCACCACTCATCTAACTCTGCCACTGCACAAGCATCTCACCAGGGCTGCAATGAAATAACGTTGGTGGCTGGATTCTGGCAGGACTAAGTGCCTGACTGATCATGACCAATCCTCTGGAGTTTGACCAGAGCAGCCCTTAGCTGGCTGTGTCAGTACCCCCATTCCCCCGAGGATTTGTTCCCATTGACTTTCAGACGTAGGCATTAGGTGTGGAAAAGAGAGTAATGTTGTGCTTTTAGCTAATAATAAGATGAGAATGCATGGAAATAAGACAGTGGTGTCTCATTAACAAGATTCAGAACTTGACATTTAAACCCCCAAGGGGAAAATCAGAACATTTTCTCAAATGTTCAGGATCTGCACTTTTCCCCAATTTTCTCACCAGTGCCCACATTGCCCAGGGCAGTGGTAAATTCCACTCATGGATTTTCAAATGATACAGGGCGAATTTTTTTTTAAAAAGTACAATGGCTGTAACCCTTCTCTGTAACAGTATAGAAATAAAATATTGTCATGTAACAAACAGCTCATTATGTAACTCCATGACAAACACTGTTTTAAAAATCTGTATTGGGAAGCAAAAACCTTATCATAGAATCTCTACAGTGTGGAATCAGGCCATTCAGCCCACACCACCCCTCTGAAGAGCATCCCACCCAGACCCATTCCCCTGTAACCTGGCATTTCCCCATGTCTAATCCACCTAACTTACACACCCCTGGACACTAAGGCAATTTAGCATGGCCAATCCACCTACGCTGCACATCTTTGGGCTGTGAGAGAAAACCCACACAGACATGGGGAGAACATGCAAACTCCATGCAGACAGTCACTGGAAGGTGGAATCAAACCCAGGTCTCTGGCGGTGTGAGGCAGCAGTGCTAACCACTGAGCCACCATGCTGCTTGCTTTGAAGAAGGATCTGAAGAAGGGTCGCTGGACCCGAAACATTAACTGTGATTTCTCTGAGAATCTTACATCCAAGACGGCAGTGGAGTAGGGCTCATCTGCTCTGTCCACTTTCCTTTATTTCTTTTCTCTCATTTTTTTTTCTTCCTTTCACTTACCTCTTGTGAAGAGCCTAGTCATGATAACGGCATCAGCAGCAAGGCAGGGTGAGCTCAGCGTGAACTCGGAAGCGAGTGTGGGTTCCTCGCAGCTTCTGCATCGATGAGGTGAGCCCAGCTATTGCAGCAGAGGTGAGTCTGGGTTCCCCACAGCATCTGCATCCAGCGCAGACTCGTGGAGGCAGCGACAGAGACGGGTTCGGGCCCAAAGGAGACTTGTAGAGGTGGCTTCGGAGGCAAGATTTGGCCGGCGTGTGACCCAGCAGCATCGGTGGTGGTTATGTTGGTGGCAGCAGTGGCAGTGGTGCTGAGATGGTGCCGGAGAATGGCAACTCTTAATTCTGCCACCACGGCAAGGGGACTTGTGGCTGGCTGCTCCAGGCCCATGGCTCAGCACTTAAAACATAGAACAGTACATCACATTACAGGCCCTTCAGCCTGCGCCGTTGTGCCAACCTATTATCCTACTCTAAAATCAAACTACCCTGCACTCAGGGGTCGCTTAAATATCCCTAAGGTATCTGACAGAAGGATAGAAGGACTAAATGTATCTTAACTAGGACTGTAAAATTGAACTTTATTTATTTATTCCCTTAATTTTTCTTCCATTCTATTCTATGTCTTGGTGCATGATTCTTGTGTTTTAAGATGGTCTTGGACAATGGCGACACTGTACACCATTATTCATTGGATTTTGTAACAAAATACACGTGACAATAAATAAATAAAATCACATAAATCGAATCAAATCAAACTCATGAGTGTGTTTTATTAAAGTATTTCAGCAACAGCATTTTTGTGACAGACCCCTGCTCTAGACTATGGATCCCAGATAAAAAAGAAGTTAGATGGGAAAATAACTTGGAAATTGTCCTTTTAGCTTGTGGGAGCTTACGGAGAAGAAGATGTTTTTAATAGACTACACAGTTTGAAGAAAGCTTAAAACTCAAAGTTATGCAATCGTAGTTAACACTTAAAATGGATCCTCCCCAAACCCAAAACTTTCGTGTGCCATAATCCCCTGGTACAATGCAACAAGCTTGTAAATGTTCCACACTTTGGGTTTATAAAGTAAAACTGTGATGATTTAAGAGGTGCCGATCAGGATTCATCAGGATCACACTTCAACAAGTTAAACACATATGGGTTTGTCTGTGTGGGAGGCAAATTTCCATTTAACTAAATAGCCTGCATTCACTCAGAACTAAACTTATTTACTGAAGGCACCTGGAGCCAGCAGAGACCTTCCCCAATTGACTAACCTCCCTGTACTAATATACATCCAGATATTGCATCTCTTCAGCAGCTCAGAAGTTTAGTTTTTATAACATTCAGGTTATTCATTATGACTTGAATAATCTGGATTATGCAGAGACTAAATGTCAAGGATTTTAAATTGACTGGAAACTGTAAGAAATAAATGTTTGAAAATTAAAACTTACACAACCTTGTACAGTTTATTGGTGGTGAATGCTTTTCATACTGGGTCCCTTAGCTTATAAAAGCCTCATTAAGAGAGTTTATCCCTCTGGTGTAGTAACCTTTTAATCATTGCTATACCCCTACAATAAAAAAAGTAGTGAACATTTGGTCTATTTAAGTATCACAGACACTATTGAGATTCACTGTCATAAACAAGTTATTCAGCCCAATGTTTCATTTTAATTTAATTCTCTTCTACCCAATCAAATTTAACCTCTGTGTAATAATATCTGGTTCACGCATCTAATTAAACTTGGTTTTTAACCAATCTCCTCTCTTTGGTATAAATAGACCCAACTTATTTTTGAATATTACAATTTATTTATTTATTTGAAAGGTTCTGTTAAGTTGACATTTCATTCATTCAAAAGGATCGTTTTTACAAAGAAAACTTGCCAGCAATGTGTTTAAGAGGACATGGAGTATATAGCAAACATAAGATTAACTGCAAATATCATGGTGGTATTTTTTGGAAAGATAATTAGCTACAAACTTTCAGGCATCAATATCAAGGTAGGAACTAGTTCCCACATCCAGACAAAAAGTTAAAAAAAACTGTTACTCTTAAAATAAATTCAAGTTTGTCTAAAGTTGAAGCCATTAAGGCATGAATTCTGCATAAAATAAACAGAACATACTTGCATTGACTCACAGTTATGATTTGACTTTGGCCGTGCTTTTGTAAGTGTATACAGTCTAGACATATTTTATTGTAAATATAGGCTAAAGTCAACAGCAAAAGCACATTTATCCAATATCAAAGTTTGCCTCTCAAAGATAATTAGTCAAGAGTCTTTCGGTTACATAATTATGATAAATCTTCTCATAAGAGAGGAGTAATAAATGTTGGTAACGAACAAGTCATCAACGTGTATTCATAGTCTAAACAATAAAAAACGTCTTTGAATACAATATACAAACATCTTAGGTCAACAGAAGAGTAAACAGTTAAGAATCTAAATAATATGTAACATTAGCTTGAGGGAGCCCTCCTGTCTTTAATTGATTATTTTCCAGTCTTTGACTAAATAGACTACTGTGTGTTTCTGTGATTGAGGCAAAGAATATTGGGAAGGAAAGATCTCCCACCAGCTAGTGAATTGAAAATGAATTTATTTCTTTTTATTTAGTGCATTGCGATCTCTCTTGCTCAATCTGACTTAAATTGAAATCCAGAACATGCCTTTCTTCCAACTAGTACTCAGAAATCTAATGGATAGGTGCTTTAGCGATATCTGAAGAGGTTTTGGTTTCTAGACAGACACTTGTATTCAAAAGATGCAGCATGGGCACACTTAATATATTTGCCAACCATTTTCCTGACCACTTGTCCTTCATCCCATCTGTGTCCCAGACAGAGTTGCTGCTCCACGTACCCTGGACCTCTATTCACAGTCAGTCTGCTTGGAAAAGCCACCAGAGCGAGCATCAGTGCTGCTTATTCTCTACCCACTCCTCCAACGAAAACAAACATGGGATGCTATTTAGAGTAACGATTTCCCAGTTATAGATCAAGTGAAAAGGGAAATCATCCACACCCTACTACTGAAATCAAAAGTATGAGGCTTAATGGGCTACGTCCCACCACTCTAAAGCCCCTTATTCCTTAGAGTGGCCCTAGAGCCAGACACTACCTTGGGATTCCAGCCCTTAACAGAAATGTTGTGTTTAAATGTGTCTCCCCCAGTTGTTTGCATGTTTGAAAGCATAAAGTGAACAGAGTTATCAGACCTTTATAGTAAAAGTACATAAAATTTTTCCTTTGAAGCATAGGGCTAATTAAATTTGACAAAGTACCAAATGGCTCAAGAGCATCTGACACCCTACCTGTCGCTTACGTATCATAGACATATTCAATCTGCTCCCAATCAGGCAGAACCCCATTTAAGTGGATGGTCATTCAATATGCTAATGCTACATCTCTGCCAAGAGAAAATTAGGATGCCAAGGGATGATTACCAAGAAGACCACGAGCCCCACACCTATCCTGATGGTAAAATTACAAAGGACCTCATTAGCCTGCCCACTAGCTCTACATCTGTCAAGTGTAAATTGGGGAATAAGCATAACAGAAGTAAAGATTTCTTCCTGAATAAAATATAACTTTAACAGTTATTGTCCCTGGATATTGTAGGCATGCAAGGTTTAAGCAATGGCACTCTGTGTCTTAGTAATGATGGGGCATTAATAAAATTCTCACCAGAGAGTCAATTTCAGCCTTCTGATTGTGAGAAGCCATTTTTGGGGCTTCCCTGAGTGACTGAGGTCACTTAGCTTACAGCCAATTTGTGTTTAATAATCAGCAGTTTATAGTTCCATGCCCCTAACCATAGGGACCTGGGTGGGGACTGCTTAAGCTGATTTCATTTCCAAGCCCACCACCAGCAAAGTGCTGACATGGTCGTAAGTTGAAAGTCAAGATATGAGCACCACTTGTTTTTCAGGATGTCAAAATTTTAGTATCAACCAGTCTGTGATTATGTCTTGAATGTTGTGGCATAGACAGGGTTAATCAAATGACCCAGCCCTAGTTCGTTTAACTTACTTTGCTCCCAGCCTCCCCAGTCATCAGAAAGAAACTTAATCCAATGTCATAAGCATAACACAAGCAATGTACATCATCAAACACAATCCCTTTCTGTTATAGCATTTATTTATCTTCTAAATGAAAATTTGGTTTGGAATAAACATTCTGAATTGAATAAATACCACGTGCAGGGTCTATACCTTTAGGTTTAAAGCATTTTCAAGCCATTTTTTATACAAATGTACATAATCCAGTCTGCAGATAACTTTGTTCAGGTATTGTAGGTGCAGAAAAATTAATTCTCAAAACAGGCTGCTCCCCTGTGCTAGATTAGCAGACTCCTGCTTCCCAATTTCTGTCAGATAGGTGCAATACAATTGGTCTCAGAATCTATGGATTAGGAATGGAGAGTGGATTAGGAGCAGAGACTCTTAGTCACTGCCCAGTGAATCAGCTGGAAAGTGCATGGATGTGAGATTCCAGTGAAAAAGAGCAGTAATGTAAAACTGCACTACACAATTGTGTCCTACACAATCTGAACCAAAATCTGAGTGACAGTGACATCCTCTTCAAACTAATACAACATTATAACATATCCATAAAACCTTTAAAAATGCAAATTAGCATAATTCCTCCATCTCCCTCTCTCCTGCAATGTGGCAGGTTGCTGCAGATATCCGCAGTCCTTTTAAACATCAAACTCTAACCATTAAAAAGGTTTCCTTTACTTCCTGGGTAAACAGTACATAATCATTGGTTTCTCAGTTGGTCAGAGTACTCAAATTTTAAAGATAAAATCAGATATTTTCTTTTCAGACAGCAGGTGTAAAATAAATTGCATTAGTTGAATTTAAACTGTCAGTAGACTCCCAAGATTTTTCAAAACCTGGAGCAATAACCCAGCCTCAGTAAGAAAACGTACCAGACTCTACTCACAACACAGATAAAAAAAAGGCGTCAGGTTCAAACCCTGGTCTGTGGTGCAGACAAAGCAGGGGCGGGGAATGGTACCATAAACCTCAGTGCCCTTCAACCTGGTGGTGGGGGAGGAACCAGCTAGCATTCATGCCCTTAATATCTGCCTTGTGACTGCTCTGGACATTGGATAAGGACAGGATCGTGTTCAAATGTGTTGCTATAGTCAAACAGTTCACCACATGGATACTAGTGGGCTGCTAGAAGAACTGTCCCATTACAGACAACCAGCACCTTCAGTGGGCATGGGGGTCATGGAAATAAATTCTGTCACAACTCAGGTGTAAACCTAAGATTTACTGGTGACTCCGCTCGAATTTATTCTCAAGCTGCAAGAGCTTGCAGACTAATGTCATTCCAAAGCTTAAGGGGTCTTAAGCTGACCCAGTTTAAAAATTAATGACAGACCGGAGAAGACATATCTGGCAGGATGCAGCACAGGATAAACACTACATTACTGATTGTAATTTACCCATCTACACTTCTGTAAGAGGGTCTTCCCTGGACCAGCCCTTATTTACTTGTGTCACTTCATTGTGAGGGTGCTGATCCTTAGCGGTCTAACTTGGGTTAAAAAGGAAACAGACAGATTTTTAATTAGTAATTGTTTGAAGGGTTATGGGAGTAGGCAAGAAAGTGGAGTTAAGGCCAAGGTAAGATCAGCCATGATTGTATCAAATGGCAGAGCAGGCTCAAGGGGCTGAATTGCTTACTCCAGCTCCTAATTCTTACATTCTTATGTTTGAGATGTGCAGCCTTATTCCTGATGAAATGCATGACTACTTATCTTTGTTTCCTATACAAATGGAGTGGCATCGATTTTCTCAGGATGCAGGTGCAATTGTATGAAGTTGGGCAAAAATGAGGATGCTCCGAGTCTGGTCCTTGTGACCTCTTTAGGATGAGGCAATTTAACTTCCTCAATATGGAGAGTTCCTGTTGGAGGAGGTTCACATATCATTCAGCCATTTTTGTTTGGCTTTCTTCTCTGATCTCTGGTCTATCACAAAACACTTAAGTTTTACCAACCCGGATTCCAAAATAAATGTCAATTTACTGATAAAAAAATTGATCTTCAAATTGCATCTTCCAACATACAATTTTGTTTTGGGATGCTGCTTCGCTTAACTTAGCCACATAATGACTGGATCTAGTGTACAGCACTTTTTCCAACATGGTGAGCTGTGTCATATTACAGAACTGAACACGGGACCACAATTATTATGTAAACTGGTTGTTAATCATAGAATCGTTACAGTATGGAAGCAGGCCATTCAGCCTATCAAGTGCACACTGACCCTCCAAAGAGCATCCCACCCAGACCCACCGCCCCTACCCTATCCTTGTAACCCTGCATTTTCCCATGGCTAATCCACCTAGCTTGCACATCGCTGGACATTATGGAGCAAGTCAGCATGGCCAGTCCATCCTAACCTGCACATCTTTTGGACTGTGGTGGAGGGAAAAAGAAAAAAAAAAATCAAAGCACCCAGAGGAAACCCACACAGACACGGGGAGAATGTGCAAACTCCACACAGACAGTCGCCCGAGAGTGGAATCGAGCCCAGGACCCTGGTGCCGTGAGGCAGTGGTGATAACCACTGAGCGTCCATGCCACCTCCAAGTGTCAATCATTGAACTGTGCTCAGTTTGTTAATATGGTATCATGCTTTACAAAGTATAATGTGTTGCATTATAATATTTCAATTTAAATATTCCAGAGGTGATACCTTGGGCTCATTTGCTAAACCCCAAACTAATGGTTCTAGGTTGGGTACCTGACAATGCAACACTAAGTCTTTTGCCTCCAAATAAGTTGATTTGACCCCAGGTTGCTATGACTGAGATCACTGCTTGGACTATTCTGGGCTCTTAAATGAAGACAGAACAGTGGAGAAACGAAAAGGAAGGAGGGACGAGGGAAGCAGGTGAAGAAGTCAGGGGGAAGAGAGATTCTGAATGCAAAAGTGACAGCATGGAGTCTCGGCATATAACAAGCCATTTTAAAGTATCGAAAGCTGCCTTAGTGAATTCTTACAGGCCAGGTTTAATATTTTCTTTACCCAAGGTCCTCCTGAAATGAATATAAGTCAATGTGCTATGGAAATCAAAAAAAAGATGTATGTGGGAAATTTCAAATTGATGCAAATTAGAAAAGGATTCTCCAATTAGATTTGGGGATCATAAAGTAATCTTCTAATGGTTTTCCTTAAATAATCTGATTTCACCTTTAAAAGATGAGTACTGCCGCTATAATCCATGAAGGCAACTGAAGTGTAGGTCCTCCTGTGATCAACACAGCCACACACCCTGGGCCTTTAGCTCAGGTTAAAGCAGTAGACACCAAACTTTGCATTCTCCTTCCTCGGGAAGCCAAAAGAGCGAACGCCTGGCTCTGGTGGGCCGCACTTAGGCCGTGGGAAGGCAATGGGGTAGCGAACACTGCCATCAGCGACCCAGCCGGCCTCACAGCGGTCAAACTTGAAGAACTTCCAGGCGGCGTAGAGCTGGCCCACTTTAGCAATCTCGCTGCCAGCGGCGTGGCAGGCTTTCACAGCTTCGTCAAAGGTGAACTTCAGCGGACGGCGTAAAAAGTACAGTTTACCTGGAAAAGGACGCAAGGAGATTGGTCAAAGAGGATGGAGTCAGGAGACATGAAGCAAACAATCCACCTAGAAACCATGCGTATAACACAGCATCAAAAGTGCTCCCAACAGTGACTTCAGCCCCAGAGGCACACAAGACAAAGAAAGACTGTTACTTCTTTCACAAGCTCAGGACAACCAAACAAGTTATCAAACTGCTGCAATGTAGGAATCAATATTGCTAATCTGTGCACAGCAAGATCCCGCAGCAACTGGCTCCCTGGATTTAACACTATGGCTTGAAGGATAAATATGGGTAAGGATTCCAGGGTGAATATCTCTGCTGTTCTTCACACTGGCACTGAAGTTTTTTTTTAAGTTCATCTTAGAGGGCACTGCTCTCCATCAGTCTCACCCAAAGTCCTGAGCTCAAGTCCCTGAACTCATGACCCAAGAGTTCTAGAGTGCCAACGACTGGACACATTTCCACATAACCCCACTGGTCCATCATTGGTCTCATTCCTATATGTCACTTGTGTCTCTCCCTAATGATTGAGTGTTTATTGAGGATCTCAGACTGGCAAGTCTTGAACGGTCCTGCCCTGTGCTGATGGGGTAAGGCAACTGCTGTCAAAGCTTTGGGGGGCTACAGAGAGGAAATGAAAAGTAAACCCACAAAGTCACCTGCTCTCTGGTGACCCTTAAAAACTCAATCTTGTGGATGTTGGGTGAAGATGGAATTGACTTTCCAACCAGATACCCTAATACGAAGACTGAGCAAAGTCTTCATGAGGTATTCACTCAGCAAATCTCCCTCATCCTGACTGTCCACAAAACATGAATTAAACATTTTGGATAGGAAACCATTTGAAATTATAGCTGCCAACATGTCTATTCTATTTCAAACAGATTTTGCGAGTCTTTACAAAAGCAATCTTTCATTGACGCCACTGGGAGATAATCCATAAACTGGGACCCATATGTTGGGCCACATCAATACAAGCAGGAACCACAGCGAATGGCTGATGCTGGAGGAGAGAATCAGCCTCCAGTCTGCCCTTCTTTCCTTCAGGAAGGCACTGGCTCTGTGCTCCATGCCAACTTTCATGGGGCACCTTTGCGATTGGTGATCCAATGTGAACAGGATCATAAGTGCAAAACCTTATTCTTCCACCTGGGAACGCTCTCTCTGTCCTTGTACAGTTTGAAGCGCCGTTTCTTACTTGGGTGGGTCTCTGCCCCCCCACTCCCCGGTTAAGGTGTGCTGTAAACTCTCTGCCGTGCATACCTTTCAGAGTCGAGGCGAAACAAAACACATCGTATCGGTGGAGGTTTTTGTGCCGCTGGCCGTAATTCCGGATGCCTGCAGAGCTGTGCTTGCCACCGCATGGTCCACGTGGCACTGTGATGGGGTACTGCACCGAGCCATCCATCAGCCAGCCAGCATTGCACCAATCTAACCCCTCCTCCCAGGCCTGGAACAACTGCTCAAAGGAGGCGATCATAGCATCCTGCTCCTCGCAGGCTTGCTTGGCATCGTGGAAGTTCAGTTGGTACCGTCCATGGTGTGGCTGGTAAGGGAAGACCACACCTAGAAGACAAGGCATGAGCAAGAGTGTGTATCTGCAAAGCAGGTGCTCATAATAGGTGATGACTTCCATAGCACAGCACCCTGGAATTTCAATTGAACAGCTAGCCACCTGTGGCTCAGATGGTAACTACGCTATCAATCCAGCATCCAGTCTAGGAAAGCCAGACCCTGGACTGTACTGCTCTCGCTCAGTTGGTGCTACTACAATTGGTTTCAGCTCCTTCCTGTAATGAAAGAGGCTGGAGAATCAGCTCAGGTACCCTGTCCTGACAACTTACTTAGCCCACGTGTATGCACATCAGAAGCGTTCACATCCCATTTACTGGTGAAATGCCCCTTTGATCATTAACTTCTCGGACATTAACATCTCCTGTTGCACGTACGGTTTATGTACTAAACTGTTCCCTCCTCAATTATCTCCCATCAATGTCCCCCATCCAGAATAGAGGTTTTTAACCAATATAGAAACTGTGCTAGGCCTTTCGGCCCCTCAATCTGACTAAGCTATTCAATTAAAACACCACTGATCTGAATATAACTCCATTTACCCACCTTGCTCTCATAGCCATTATATTCCTGCCGAAGAAAAAACCCTATCAAGCTTGACTTTGAAATTTTTGGTGGAAACTCCCTCAGATCTTTTGGGGAGAGAGTTCCAGACTTCTACTGTTCTTTGACTGAGGAGATGTTTTGGCAGGGTTACTCTGAAATCAGTCACAGGCATGAGTTGAAAGGTCAATCCTCATGCGACTCTCTTCCCAAATTCAGCTGTTAATGGGCTGTGACAATGTTCTACATGATAGTTCCTTTAAGAATGAGCCATGAGATGGCAGGGGCCATTGTGGTGCAGAGTTAGTGTCCTAACCTCTGAGCCAGAAGACCCAGGTTCATGTGCCACCTACCTCCAAAAGGTGCCATAATAACATCCCCGAACAGATTTGAAAGTATTTGAACACAAGATACTCCAGAAGCAAGACAGAACAGTTGATGCTCATTAGAGATAAATTTGAGGTTTTTCTAGTGGTGCCCTTGAAGCATTTTGGGATACCACAGGGACAGAAGTCCCATGAGATTTTGATTAAAGCCCTTTTGGTTAATGTGGTTAATATCTCACGCCATCTCAGAGTAAGGTGTTGTCCAGTAAAAACAGAGATAAGGAGGATTTATTTTTTCTCAGAGGGGAGTGAATCTGGAATTCTTTACCACAGAGGGCTGTTCAGGCTGGGTGGCTAATTATTGAGACTGAGACGGACGGAGTTCTAATCATTGAAGGAATCAAGGAGTATGGAGATAAGACTGGAAGGTGGAGTTGACAATTATCAGTTCAGCCATATCTTATTGAATAGCACAGCAGATCTGATGGGCTGAATGGGGTACTTCTGCTCTTTTGGTCTTACAATCCCCTAGTGGGCAATTGTTTTGTTCATTCACAAGTCATGGACATCACTGGCTAGACCAGTATTTATTGTCCATCCCTAATTTCCCAGAAAGCAGTTAAGAGTCAACCACATTGTCTTCGAACTGGAGTCACAAGTAGGGAAGACCAGGTATGGGTAGTAGTTGTCTTCCCTAAAGAACACGGTCAGTTGTAATTCAGTTTATTTTGTGAAACAAAGGACTGGTTTTGTACCTGTAAGTGGAGGTAGTCAGGAAGGAGAGCACAGATTGGAGTTTATATTGAACTATGAAATGCAATAAGTAGTTGTGAAAGACAGAATGAGTCCTCCTTCCATAAATGGATGACTAGCAATATAACAGGCTGTGCAGTTCACTGAAATCCCCATTTTACATTGCAAGATGTCTGATCCAGAGATTACCTCTTAACTCCAGCTCAACAATGCTGCTTTCATCCTCCAGCCCATCAATCACTTCACATTTGTACTTCCCATAATCCTCCAGCCTGACATCAGTGATGACCAGCGACACCTCACGCTCGTCATTCTGCTGCAGGTAGACGCGACCCCTGAACTCCCCAAAACTGCGATGGCGCAGTCCAATTGCCACAATAACGTCGCTCTCCTTGGAGAAATCCATGTTGAGTTTGGACCATTTAACCCTGACCTTTCGGGTCACGTTCACTGCTGGTTCATAATGGTAGTGACAAGTCAGGGTCACATTCTCCCCTCGGTATGCAAAGAGTCTGTCCTTTTGGGTTTCAATATGAAGCTTGACGCTGTTGTAATCTGAAAAAGATACAAAAAGCGAAAACCGCTCAATGCTAACATTTTGAGCTAGATTTTAAAACAAGAGACTGCTGGAGTACTGAATCATGAGAGAGACAGAAAGGCTGAGTCTTGCTGGCCCAGTCCATGTTGGGTTGGTTGAGATAGGAGCTGACAATAGTGACCTTGAGAAAGGGAGGGAGGCCATCAGTCAGGATTGCTGCTCCCGAGTTGTTCAAATGGGAAAAGAATCAGGGCTCAGTTCTGTTGCCTGCCACCCTACGCCGCCTTTAATATTTATTTTTCTTCTGCACAGGCCTCCTTGGCAACAGCTTCCAAAATGGGAAATCAATGGTGGGAACGACGTCAGCACGCCGGCTGGTGTGTGCAGGTCCTCAGAGCGGCTGCGCTCCTGTGCAGTTTAGCAGGAACATTGCAAAAAGGTGAATTCTCCAGCTAACACCCCAATGTCTAGGCCTCTACATGGAAAAGAGCCAGTTCAACAATGGGCTTCATCGGTTAGAGCCTGTGCAAGGAGATCCTCAGCAATGAGTCTCCATCTTTAGGAGGGAAAATCAAAGGGTCCACCCTGGCCACTTAGACTATGGAAATGTCTATCCACCCATCATGCTGAAGAATAATAGATAGGCATGTAATAGTTAGACAGATATAATAAAGGGACTTGTGACACAGAGGCAGTATCCCTACATCTGGGCCAGAAATGTATTGTCAGAACAGATGAATTTAAAATATCTTTACGTAGGTTGACTGGGTATCAGAAGGTGGAATAAAGTCTCTGATGGGTTGTGGAAAGAATGGGCTTAGTGAGTTAAAAATGGCTGTCATCAGTTGATACTTTCTTATGTGCATCCTGCTGGTTTGTTGAAACAGAAACTAGCTGAATGTGTCTTAATCAACAAATATTAAAACAGATGATCTGCAAATTATCACATTGAGATTTGTGGGAGCTTGTTGTAAACAAATTGGTTGTCAAATTTCCTTACAGCATAAAGTGACCAGGGGCCTTTTGTAGCGCAGTGGTAGAGCCCCCAGACCACAACGCCTGGGTTCAAGTCCCACCTGCTTCAAAGGCATGTAATAACCTTGCTGAACTGGTTGATTAGGATAAAAAGGTTAAATTTAAAAAAAATTTAAAGTGACTATGCTTCAAAGGTACTTCATTGGCTGTAAAGCTCCTTGAGATCTTGAGGTAATAAAAAGGCACCAAGAGAGCTTTGCATGCAAGTCAATTATTAAATGGAATCACTGGTGATTTAGTGGTGCTGCATAAAAGGTAAAAAAGTTACACAGATGTCTTGGTGGTAGAAAAAGAAATCCAATCAGTTGTGCATGAATACACTTCCAGATAAAAGAGAAAAAATGCTGTATAAATGCTGGGGATAATACAGTGTGGAGCTGGAGGAATACAACAAGCCAGTTAGCATCAATGGAGCGGGAAAGCTGACGTTTTGGGTCGGGATCCTTCTTCAGCTGTGCTCCTCCAGCTCCACACTGTTATCTCTGACTCCAGCATCGGCAGTTCTTACTATCTCTGTATAAATGCTGGGTTTTTTTTTGAAACTGATCGTGTGCACAAGCTGCAATTAATCACAAATAGTAATTCAACCAGCTGACACAACCTTGTTCAAAAGGGCACAACAGAAAGTACGATAAATAGCAACCAGGACAGGAGGTGCCTAACTAGTCCTTTTGAGTAGTATCAGGAAAGGTTCCCATTACACTGGAGCCATCAACATGACGGGGCAACAGTCAGTGGACTGAAATGAAGAAGACTGAAGGATAAGATGGGACTTAATGGAAACACTTACGCTCACCATTCCCATTGCCATTTCCGTTGCCATTAATGTAGAATGCACCATTCTGTGCAAGACAAAGGGGCAGACAAGCCAGCTGCAGGAGGACCACACTCTGAGCAAACATCATTGCAGCTTGTACCCACAAGCCCTACAAAAGAAAAGAAACAAAAGCCGTTAGTGCTTTAAGAAAGAAGTTAATGGTCTGTGAAAGTTGATTTGAAAGCCTCCAGATCATAAGAAGAAACCAGACTGAAGGTATTTTTAGCAACATGGCAAATAATAAGTTAGGATGAATCGGAACTGAAGTCACAGTGTCCATATTTTTCAAGAACGCACTGACCACTTAGCAATTTTCAGTGATGCTATTATGGAAAGAAAATTGGAATTTCCCACTTTTAAAGTTTTTTGAGAAGATTTGTAGCTCGGGCCGTGGATGAGGTTGTAGACTTGCTTGCCGAACCGGTGGGTTTGGTTGCAAACCTTTTGTCACTGTGCTAGGTAACATCATCATGCACCTCCGGTGAAGCGATGGTGTTCTGTCCTGCTTGTTATTTATATACTTCGGTTTGCTGGGGTGATTGGTATTATTTCCTTTCTGTTTTTCAGTGGTTTGTATATCGGGTCCAGTTCAACGTGTTTGTTGACGGAGTTCCAGTTGGAATGCAAGGCCTCCAGAAATTCCCTGGCATATCTCTGTTTGGCTTGTGCTATTATGGATGTATTGACCCAGTCAAATTTGTGTCCTTCTTTGTCAGTGTGTATTGAGACCAGTGAGAATTGGTCATGACTCTTGGTAGCTAATTGGTGTTCCTGTATCCTTATTGCCAGTTTTCTTCCAGTTTGGCCTATGTAATGTTTCTCACAGTCCTTGCATGGCATTTTGTATATTATGTTAGTTTCATTGGTTGTGGGTATGGGATCCAGAACAGGAGCACTTAAACGGAGTTTTTAAAAGGAATGGATACCCAAAAAGCACAATCCGCTGTTGCCTCTGCAACAGACCACAAGAAGACACAACACGGCCAGACACATTTGTCACCCTACTGTACATCAGAGATCACCACAAGACTACTCAGACCCCTAGGTATCAGAGTGCCCACAAACAAACAACCACATTGTGACAGCTACTGACAAATGATCCCATACCTGCAACTAATAAAACTAACATAATACACAAAATACCATGCAAGGACTGCAAGAAACATTACATAGGCCAAATTGGAAGAAAACTGACAATAAGGATACAGGAACACCAACTAGCCACCAAGAGACACGACCAATTCTCACTGGTCTCACTACAGACGGACAAAGAAGGACACAAATTTGACTGGGACAACACATCCATAATAGCACAAGCCAAACAGAGACACACCAGGTAATTCCTGGAGGCCTGGCATTCCAACCAGAACTCTGTCAACAAACACATTGAACTGGACCCAATATACAAACCACTGAGAAACAGAACTGGAAATAATACCAACCACCCCAGCAAATCGAGGTATATAAATAACAAGTGGGATGGAACACCAATGCTTCACAAGAGGCGCACAGACAGTGTTACCTAGCAGGGTGACGAAACGTCTCCAATCAAACACACTGGCTCAGCGAGCAAGTCTACAACCTTTCCCTTTTATTTGTGGCAATTTGTAAATAGCATGGTGGAGAGGCTAAAAGGGCTTAATGGGCTATCCTGCTCCTGAAGTCCTACGTCAACACACCTGCTCAGAAATTTGACATTGCTGAACTGACCAGCGCTGGGCCGCGTGGTGGCGCTGTTGGGTTGTTGTAGTAACGAGCTCCAGCCACTAAGCGGCGCTGGAGTGCACGAAGTGGGATGGCCTCGCTTGCTCCACGCAGTGGCCAAGGTCGGGAATTACGGCTATTTGTGTTCAGGGTCCAGAAATCATCTTCAGGATTCTGAATTCCAAAAAAAAGGTTGGCGTAAAAATTCTATAAAACCTGTGCTAAAAGCAACAAACCTATTTCATTACTGTAAATAGATGTTCCTGGCCATTGAATGGTGGTCTAAATAGCAAGCACGAACAGGCTATTGGACTGTAAGAGGCATCATGATTGCTCCTCAGTACTGAGCCTTGGGTTTTCATTTCTGTCATGGTCAGTACTATACTCAGGACATGGGGCTACCCACTTGGGGATAGACACTGTCACACATCTCCATCTAGAATGTGTCTTTGCAAAGAACAAAGTCAGAAGTCACACTACACCAGGTTACAGCCCTTTCATCACCCTGATGAAGGAGCAGCGCTCCGAAAGCTTGTGATTTCAAATAACCCTGTTGGACTATGACCTGGTGTTGTGTGACTTATGACTTTGTCCACCCCCGTCCAACACCGACATCTCCACACCTTTGCAAAGGAAGTCTGGAGAAAGATGCAGTAGCTTTTATCGAGGTTCATCCTGAGCAGCTCTGCGATGTGGGACTCTGCGCTTCATGGGCTGTTCCCGGGATGCACACGGAGACAAACATCACCTGTGCCTGGAGGACCATCAACTCGGTGAAAGACACCCTTTGGCTGCTCAAAACCTGTTGGTTTTCCAGAGTAAGGATTGACCTCAACTGGGTGTTGCAGGCTGGCACATTCCAAGGTTCAGGACTATATGCTGAGGGATGCACTAAAATTGGGGCAGCTGCTGCTGAGGCACAGTGGGGAAAGACTATTGCCTAAGGTCTTTCGGCCAAAGTACAATGGGGGCCCATTCAGTTATCATTACCCTCCCTGTGTCTCAAGTACAAGATTATGTTTACATGTATAAGTAAGAAATGCCTTTGATTTGTTTGTTAGATAAAGTCACACTCCAATGTTAGTTTGTTTCTCCATATGCTACTGTACAGAACCAAACTGCTTTAGTGACTATGTATGTATATAAAGATTTGTTACGAATAAAGTGTACTTTTGAAATAGAAACAGTGGGACTACCTGCTGAGCTGTCTATGCTGTGATAATGCTGACACCAGGGGCTGAGTTTGACCACCAGCATCAGTTGCAGGTCTCTTGCCAATATTCACTGGCTACATGACTGGCAGAGCAATCTGCCCAGAGGCGGGCTCGTTACCACCTCTCTGTGTGCTCACTGTCCAATTAAGCACAGGCTCTCAGTGTAGCTGAGCCAGAGTGCCTGTGAGAGAAAACCAAAATGGAGTCACCTGCATGGGCATCATGCAAACAACAGGGATGCCAGCCAGAACATCCCCATGGCTGGAGGGGGACTACTTCTTCCACTATAGAGGGTCTCAACCTCAATTGTTCCCATTTACACACATTGCCCACTCTTTAGGTTACAGTACAAGGAGCCATGTCCATTGAGCTTTATCACATGGCCAAAACTTCTAAGGTCATCAACTCACCCCGATCGGTGCCTTAAAAACATTTATTAGCTGTCCACCTTCATGGCAGGGAGAAGCTATTTTCCTGCTCTCTCCTTCAGCATGAGGCTAGCAATGTTCAGACACAAGGAACCAGATACAGCAATATCCCAATCCTCCTTTTTACGGAGCTCTCAATCGCTTTATCTAATAGCTCCTTCTTGGTCCCAATGCTGATGTTTCTCTGTTTGTGGTTCTCAGAAGCTCCTTGAGATATTCTTTCAATGAGGAGATTGTTAGAAGTTGCTAAGTTAAAGTTGCTCATCTGTTGCTGGGACCCTCATCCACACCTCCACAAACCTCAGATTTGACTCCTGCAATGCATTCCTGCCAATCTCCTACATTTTACACTCTGTAAATGTGTACTCACATAAAACTTCACTGCCTGCAGCAAGTCACTCCTGTGCTCGCTGACCCACATATTCCAGTTGCATTTTCGTTTTAAAATTCTCATCCTGCCATTCAAATTTCTCTACAGCCTTGCCCTTCCCACCTCTGTAATCTCAAACCTCACAATGATCTAAGGGATGTGTACTCCTCATCTGTGCTCCTAGAAGCCCGACAGCATGGAAGCAGGACAGTTGGCCCATCAAGTCCATCCAACCCTCTGAAGAGCATCACGCCCAGACCCATCCCCCAGCCCTATCCCTGTAACCCTGCATTTCCCACGGCCAATCCACTCTAACTTGCACATCTTTGGACTGTGGGAGGAAACTGGAGCACCCGGAGGAAACCCACACAGATACCCAGAGAATGTGCAACTCCATACAGACAACCACCCAAGGAATCAAACCCAGGTCCCTAGCACTGTGAGGCAGCACTTGTAACCACTGAACCACTGCGCTGCCCATATAATTGAAATAAAAACAGAAAATACTGGTAGAACTCAGCATGCCTGGTGGCATCTGTGCAGAGGGAAACAGAGTTAACAGCTTGAGTCCAATAAAACTCTTCTTTGGAATGCTCAAGAAATTACATTTGATTCAAAGGTTTACTTATTTTTCTCTCTGCTCAGATGCTGCCAGACCTGCTTTTCTTTCAGATCTCCAGGATTGGCAACATTTTGCTTTTATTTTACTTTTTAAAATTATTGTTCCACCTTTGGTGGCTGTGCCTTGGTTGCTCTGAAATATCCTTCCTAAACATCTCTACCGCATTTTCCTCCATTAGACAATCCTAAAAACCGACTTCTTTGACTGAGTTTTGGTCACCTGACCTAAAATCCCCCTGTGTAGTTCAGTATCACACCTTCTTTTACAATGTTCCCATGAAGCACCATTGTGTTAAAGGAGCTATATAAATGTAACTTGCTGTTGTTAAATGCAACTGGCGATCATTTGTATTGCCAATACCCAGCTGTAGCATCACAATCACTAATGACAGACAACCAGAATATTAATCATTTCAGAACTAAAAGTCTCTTGTCCATTTCAGCTTTTAGTTCTCAAAATGAGTCAGAGGTGAGCATGAACTACGCTAAAATATTCCCAGGTGTGAATCACTAAACGCCTTGCCCAATATGGCAAGAAGAGGTCCTGGCTTAAAATAATTTATTGAGAAATTAATTAATGTTTTAATATTTTAAACTGACAAGTCTCCAGTCCCAATCTCCTGAGCTGAAAACAATTCAATGCCAAGATCTTTTTGACCTGAAGGCTTCATGTCTAAGCTCAGACAGCAGATGGCAGCAGAAGTCAGCATAAGAAACACAAACTAGCGAGAGATAGCAAGAACTGCAGATGTTGGAGCCAGAGTTGGGAAGG